CCTTTGTTATATATATACGTGTTTGTTTTGGGCTTTGGACGTACCTTGTGTTGGGTGGAGTAAATAAAACCCCTATTATGTATTCCTGCGCCTGTCTTCTAATCATTATACAACGTGACAGAATAATCAACCCATAAAAATGGAGACAGCGGGAAAGGCCGAGCTGGCGACCATCGTAGAGACAGTCCAGCATCACGAGGACTGTCTCTCCAGACTCGGCAGCGCCATGGACAGCGTGCTGGCAACCATCCTGCGGTTGGAGAGGAAAGTGCAGTCCCTCCAGTCTCCAGCACCGGTTTCAGCACCAGCTCCCACACCACCACTACCTGCCTCCATCCCATCCGAGCCGGTCTGCGGAATACCCCTTTCCCTCCCGGAGTGCTTTGACGGCGCGCCAGCGAGATGCAAGGGATTCCTTCTGCAATGCGACCTGTACCTCGTTCGCTACGCCGAGGCTGTCTCCGGGAGAGACAGGGTTGCCACAGTCATCTTGGCACTTACCGAACGGGTCCTGGACTGGGGTGCCGCAGTCTGGGAGACGGGCGGACCCGAGGTCGAGTCCTACGAGCACTTCACCCTCCTCTTCCGCTCTGTGTTTGATCATCCTGTGGAGGGCCGAGAGGGGGGTGAGCGTCTACTCCGACTACGTCAGGGATCTAAGACTGCCTCGGAGTTCGCCCTGGAGTTCCGGACCATCGTGGCCTCCACCGGATGGAACAAGTTGGCTCTGGTCACCGTTTTCCGCAGCGGACTGCAGGAGGAGGTACAGATGGAGTTAGCCTGCCGTGATGACAACCTGTCACTCAACCAGCTCATCAGCATGGCGATCTGGTTGGACAACCTCCTGCGGTTCCAACGAAGACTTGCGCGGAATCCGGAGCCCATGGCTACACCTGCTCCATGGCCAGGCCAGAGGTGGGCTCTGCACGTTTGCCCGAGGCAGAGCGTAGGAGAAGGAGGAATATGGGCCTCTGCTCCTATGGTGGAGAAAGCGGTCATTTCTCCCCGACCTGCCCTCTATCCACTAATAGGCGAGGAGGTGACAGGCCAGGCTCGAGGAACGTGAAGGCAGACACCCTGTCTTGCCTCTATGACGCAGAGGAGACCCCCATCATCCCTCCATTCCGCATCATTGCGCCAGAGGTGTGGGACGTGGACACCTACATACGGCAGGCCCTGCGTACGGAACCCGCACCTGCTCAGTGCCTGGAGAACTGCACCTACGTGCCCACGGGTGTGCGGGACCGCCTCCTTTCCTGGGCACACACGGCGCTTGTGTCGGGTCATCCTGGGATAGACCATACCATCGCCTGCCTGACTGAAAAGTACTGGTGGCCCACCTTGGCTAGGGACGTCCGGGTTTACGTCTCTTCCTGCTCCATCTGTGCTCAGTCTAAGTGCTCCATCTGTGCTCAGTCTCAGTCTAAGCTCCTTCCCTTGCCGGTTCCACAATGACCCTGGTCTCACCTCTCGGTGGACTTTGTCACTGACCTTCCCCCCTGCTAGGGGAACACCACCATTCTCGTCGTTGTGGACCGGTTTTCCAAAGTTTGTCGCCTCCTTCCTCTGCCTGGGCTCCCGTTGACCATGCAAACCGTGGAGGCTCTTTTTACACACGTCTTCCAGCACTACGGGATCCCGGAGGACATTGTGTGTCAGACCGTGGTCCTCAGTTCACCTCAAGCATATGGAAAGCGTTCATGGAACGCCTGGGGGTCACGGTCAGTCTCACCTCCGGGTACTGTCCTCAAGCTAATGGGCAGGTGGAGAGGGTCAATCAGGAAGTGGGCAGGTTCCTGAGGTGTTACTGTCAGGACCGGCCAGGGGAGTGGGCGGATTTTCTACCTTGGGCTGAGTACGCGCAGAATTCCCTCCGCCACTCCTCCACTAACCTCACTCCTTTCCAGTGTGTGTTGGGGTATCAGCCGGCCCTGGCACCTTCGCATCCGAGCCAGACCGAGGACCCTGCGGTGGATGAGTGGTTTCGGCGTGCTGAGGAGATCTGGAATGCTGCGCACACTCGTCTCCAGCGGGCCATGCGTTGGCACAAGGAACATGCCGACCTCCACCGCAGTGAGTCGCCTGTTTTCTCTCCAGGCGACCAGGTCTGGCTCTCCAGCCGGAACCTGCCCCTCCGCTTGCCCTGCCGGAAGCTGAAAGTCCTGAGGAGGGTTAATAAGGTAACATACCGTTTGATTACCACATTAACCCAACTTTTCATGTGTCTCTCCTCAGGCCAGTGGTGCCTGGTCCCCTCGCTGAGGCTGGACCCAGTGACACCCCGCCTCCTCCTCTGGACATCGAGGGAAGGATTCACCTAAATTAAAATCATACTTTATCAAAAGTTTATGTTTCATAGTGTTCTATTGTTTCAAGAAATTGTCATATATTATCTTGAATGTACTGTCCATGTAAAAAATTGAATTATGGTTTACAAATTGATGTAAAGACTTACTGAATATTTTTAATAATGCATTATACTACAATAATATTCATGTTGAAAATGTCTATCAATTTCCGGACTCACCCGCTGTTGGAATTTTCCAGGTTCAAGGTGGAGCTAGGCCTACAGTGGAAGAACAAGTATTTGATACACTGCCGATTTTGCAGGTTTTCCTACTTACAAAGCATGTAGAGGTCTGTAATTTTTATCATAGGTACACTTCAACTGTGAGAGACGGAATCTAAAACAAAAATCCAGAAAATCACATTGTATGATTTTTAAGTAATTAATTTGAATTTTATTGCATGACATAAGTATTTGATCACCTACCAACCAGTAAGAATTCCGTCTCTCACAGACCTGTTAGTTTTTCTTTAAGAAGCCATCCTGTTCTCCACTCATTACCTGTATTAACTGCACCTGTTTGAACTCATTACCTGTATAAAAGACACCTGTCCACACACTCAATCAAGCAGACTCCAACCTCTCCACAATGGCCAAGACCAGAGAGCTGTGTAAGGACATCAGGGATAACATTGTAGACCTGTACAAGGCTAAGACAATAGGCAAGCAGCTTGGTGAGAAGGCAACAACTGTTGTCACAATTATTAGAAAATGGAAGAAGTTCAAGATGACGGTCAATCACCCTCGGTCTGGGGCTCCATGCAAGATCTCACCACGTGGGGCATCAATGATCATGAGGAAGGTGAGGGATCAGCCCAGAACTACACGGCAGGACCTGGTCAATGACCTGAAGAGAGCTGGGACCACAGTCTCAAAGAAAACCATTAGTAACACACTACGCCGTCATGGATTAAAATCCTGCAGCGCACGCAAGGTCCCCCTGCTCAAGCCAGCGCATGTCCAGGCCCGTCTGAAGTTTGCCAATGACCATCTGGATGATCCAGAGGAGGAATGGGAGAAGGTCATGTGGTCTGATGAGACAAAAATATAGCTTTTTGGTCTAAACTCCACTCGCCGTGTTTGGAGGAAGAAGAAGGATGAGTACAACAAGAACACCATCCCAACCGTGAAGCATGGAGGTGGAAACATCATTCTTTGGGGATGCTTTTCTGCAAAGGGGACAGGACGACTGCACCGTATTGAGGGGAGGATGGATGGGGCCATGTATCGCGAGATCTTGGCCAACAACCTCCTTCCCTCAGTAAGCGCATTGAAGATGGGTTGTGGCTGGGTCTTCCAGCATGACAACGACCTGAAACACACAGCCAGGGCAACTAAGGAGTGGCTCCATAAGAAGCATCTCAAGGTCCTGGAGTGGCCTAGCCAGTCTCCAGACCTGAACCCAATAGAAAATCTTTGGAGGGAGCTGAAAGTCCGTATTGCCCAGCGACAGCCCCGAAACCTGAAGGATGGTTTGTATGGAGGAGTGGGCCAAAATCCCTGCTGCAGTGTGTGCAAACCTGGTCAAGACCTACAGAAAACATATGATCTCTGTAATTGCAAACAAAGGTTTCTGTACCAAATATTAAGTTCTGCTTTTCTGATGTATCAAATACTTATGTCATGCAATAAAATTCAAATTAATTACTTAAAAATCATACAATGTGATTTTCTGGATTTTTGTTTTAGATTCCGTCTCTCACAGTTGAAGTGTACCTATGATAAAAATTACAGACCTCTACATGCTTTATAAGTAGGAAAACCTGCAAAATCGGCAGTGTATCAAATACTTGTTCTCCCCACTGTATATCACCTCTCTGTCCTCTACCGTGCATTAGATTTGTGTGTGTGATGTAGGGCTAGGGAAGTGTGGCCAAGGCCAAGCCAAGCTACAGGTCACTTATTTTGTTGTGTTCACCTTGTAGTAAGTTTGCCTATCTGGGCATAGGCCCTAATGTTCTGTAGTTATTGAAGGAATCTTTATTTGATGCTCATTTTACTATTCATATTTTTTGGACAATGTTCCTGCAAACCTTTTCACCCTATTTCTCACTGGAGCTCGAAAAGAACATAAAAGCAACCCAAACTTGGATTCCTGGTGGCACGACTCTTTCCTTCAACTCAGGCCCTAGGTCTCTTTCTTTTTACCCAATTTCTTACACTATTATGATTTTTTCCCTATCTGTGCTTTTACTTCACAGGAGGTTGGTGGCACCTTAATTGGGGAGAACGGGCTCGTGGTAATGACTGGAGCGGAATCAGTGGAATGGTATCAAATAGATCAAACACATGGTTTCCAAGTGTTTGATGCCATTCCATTTGCTCCGTTCCGGCCATTACTATGAGCCGTTCTCCACTCAGCAGCCTCCACTGTTTTACTCACAGTCCAGGTTAATTACATGCTAATAGGCCTAGATACTAGTTTATTGTGGCATTAGGAACTAGGTAGCTGAAGTGGTAGCTGTGATTCTACTACGGAAGACATTTCTCACGGACGCATTTTGTTCATCATTTATTATCTTCCGCCAATTGAAAGGTTGTCGGCGTAGCTACATTATGAAACCAGCATGAGGGAATGTAGCTAGCTGCTAAATAACAGTCAAAACGGTGCTGTATTTTTGGATTCTGACTTCAATAACTTCAGTATTTCACCATGCATTCGCAGATCCTGTGCAAAGGCACGGCTGCGGCTGTGGCTGCGAGGAGAATGCGGAATATTTTAGGTCCTGTCCTGGGCAAAGGCGGCTGGACGTGGAATACTCATGAGGTCAAACTCCTCAACACATCGGAAGGTGACTGACCCTAGCTAAAAGTAACACTACTGGCTATTGTCATAGTGTTGAACTATTGTTTTTGACCCTGCAAACCCACTTCTGTCGTCTTTAAATGTATATTTAAAGTGTGCTGATGTAACAGGCTAGCAAGTTAGCTCGCTAGCTAGCCACTATGGAAGTAGATTGTAAGCTATCTGTCACCTGTCACCTACATTTCGTATGTTGCTGGGAGCTAGCTAGCTAAATGTTTTACAACTACTGTAATCCAAGCTAGCAGATTGCACTGTAACATTCACATAACATGCTAAACTTCACTAAACAAATAATCCCTAGTTAACGTTAGGCCTACTCCTATTGGTTTTTATTTCTGTGGCATTGGTTCCTGTATTAGTTTTGTGTGTGGCATCAATCACTGTTTGAACACAATCTTTTTTCTTCTGTGTCAGGTGACACAGTGAAGATAGGAGATATCTCCTACCAGCTCAAAACACCCAGGAACCCAGAGCTAGTGCCCATCAATCACAGTATGTAGCACCAGTGATATGCTCTACCTTCAATGCAATGTATTTCTGTGTGTGTGTGTGTGTGAGAGAGAGAGAAAGAGTGAGAGAATGAATGAGACAGTGAATTTGTGTTTGCTTGTCCTTCCTTGTGTGTGATAGTGTCGGAGACCCTGCCCCAGACTGTGGTCCAGCACCTGCGTTGGATCATGCAGAAGGATCTGTTGGGTCAGGACGTGTTCCTCATCGGACCCCCTGGACCCCTACGACGATCCATCGCCATGCAGTACCTGGTGAAAACACACACACACACACACACACACACACACACACACACACACTACTAGTCCACTGAGCAAATCAAATCAAATTTTAATTGTCACATGCTTCGTAGACTAACAGTGAAATGCTTACGGGCCCTTCCCAACAATGCAGAATATAATAAAAAACAGAATAATAGAAAAAATTAATTGTAACACGAGGAATAAATGCATGATGAGCAATGATAGCGAGTCGATGTGCAGGGTTACTAGGAAATTGAGGTAGATATGTACATATAGGTAGGGGTGACTAGGCAACAGGATAGATAATAGACAGAAGCAGCAGCGTATGTGATAAGTGTGTAAGTGCCGCTCTATATCCAAGCTGAAGCCTATCTAGGGACTGGTGCTGTATAACAGTAGTTGCCAAATCTTAGTGAATTTCCAAAACCAATATTCAACAGTAGCATAACACTATAGTTACTATTACATGTAATATTAGTTACTATTACCATGTAATAAACTATCAAGAGCTAAGTGATTACTAATTACTATTAGTACAAGTATACACTGTAAAGCATTATTGAGTGTTCTAAAGGGTTATGGAGTGCTCTAGCATTAGGAAGTGTTCTAAAGTGTTGTGTTGACTTCCCTGGTTGGTTAGGAGCTGACTAAGAGAGAGGTGGAGTATGTAGCTCTGTCCAGAGACACTACAGAGACAGATCTCAAACAAAGAAGAGAGATACGATCTGGAACAGCCTTCTACATAGACCAGGTGAGTACCGTTCATCTGTCCGTCAGTCCATCCATCAATCTATCCGTATGCACTATATAGCTATCAATGTGAAGTTCTGAATAGGTGTTTTAAAACATTGGTCAGATATGTCAGTGGTGTGAACATTAGGACATTTTGTCTTTTGTCATTGCAGCTACATACTGATGGTCATATGCTTTCTTGTTAAAAAAAGCACTACTTTGTTGTTTTCCGATGAGAGCACATCATTGATCAAAGCTCCACTCTCCAGTAGCGCTAACTAACAATCCTATGTACTGGTTAGATCATCATCTGTCAATATAAACACCCATTTCCTGGTTGGTTCATTTGTGGCTTGGTTCTACACTTGGGCTTGGAATTGCCAGGGACCTCACGATACGATATCATGATGCTTAGGTGCCGATACTTTATGTATTGCAATTCTATATGTATCATGATTTATCAAAATTCTATATGTATTGCGATTCGATACTGCTATTTTATGGCAATTCAATGTTCCAAACATATCGCTCACTATGTCTGTTGCAGAGGGACAAGAGAGAGCCATAATAAAAACGTTTTGATCAGTCATGGAAATAAAAGTGCTGAAAACATGTTGGCTCACCATTTAAAAAGAAGATTGAGGCCAAGCTATAGGAGGAGAAATACCAAAGTTTTGGCGCAGGTACAGCTGACTAGCGCTAGCTAACCTTAATAACTACCTTTTTAGAGAATCGATACTTGGAGTAATAGAATCAATATAATATTGTAAAAATAATATTGCGATACTCTACCGTATCCATTTCCCCCCATCCCTATTCTATACTAATCATCTAATGATCAGTGAGATCCACCACGACACAGTCCATTCTGTGAGATGGTGAGCTAGCTAGATGATACATTTGGGATCACAAAGCAGGATCAATGATTTGGCAAGCTAACGTTCCTCAATAATTTAAAATTATGTGGACATGGTATTACTGACTTGTCACCAATGTTCCCGCTAAGCTGTGCGCGTGCGCCGGCGCGCAGCTCCCCGGGACTGCCATGCAGAGCAAATATCAGCACGAGATTGAACTTCACCTTACTTAACACTATCAATGTTTCCCTTTACTGTGGGAACTGTAATCGAATCAACACAATATTAGCCACTTTCAATGCAACATACCGAAACAAAGCGAACTATGCAAGACTTAGTATTCAAAACAAACTATACAAGGGATTTTGTTGTAGGCAGAACGCATCGGAGTAGGATTCTATTGCATTGACACGCATGACTCAGCCCATACTCTACACAGACCGGCACAGCATAACCAATCAGAGCTGCAGTAGGCCTACAGTTGAAGTCGGAAGTTTACATACACCTTAGCCAAATACATTTAAACTCTGTTTTTCACAATTTCTGACATTTAATCCTAGTAAAAATTCCCTGTCTTAGGTCAGTTAGGATCACAACTTTATTTTAAGAATGTGAAATGTCAGAATAATAGTAGAGAGAATGATTTATTTCAGCTTTTATTTCACATTCACAGTGGGTCAGAAGTTTACATACACTCAATTAGTATTTGATAGCATTGCCTTTAAATTGTTTAACTTGGGTCAAACGTTTCGGGTAGCCTTCCACAAGCTTCCCACAATACGTTGGGTGAATTTTGGCCCATTTCTCCTGACAGAGCTGGTGTAACTGAGTCAGGTTTGTAGGCCTCCCTGCTCGCACACGCTTTTTCAGTTCTGCCCACACATTTTCTATAGGATTGAGGTCAGGGCTTTGTGATTGCCATTCCAATACCTTGACTTTGTTGTCCTTAAGCCATTTTGCCATAATTTTGGAAGTATGCTTGGGGTCATTGTCCATTTGGAAGACCCATTTGCGACCAAGCTTTAACTTCCTTACTGATGTCTTGAGATGTTGCTTCAATATAGCCACATAATTTTCCTTCCTCATGATGCCTTCTATTCTGTGAAGTGCAACAGTCCCTCCTGCAGCAAAGCACCCCCACAGCATGATGCCTGCACCCCTGTGCTTCACGGTTGGGATGGTGTTCTTCGGCTTGCAAGTCCCCCCTTTTTCCTCCAAACATAACGATGGTCATTATGGCCAAACAGTTCTATTTTCGTTTCATCAGACCAGAGGACATTTCTCCAAAAAGTACGATCTTTGTCCCCATGTGCAGCTGCAAACCGTAGTCTGGCTTTTTAATGGCGGTTTTGGAGCAGTGGCTTCATCCTTGCTGAACGGCCTTTCAGGTTATGTCGATATAGGACTCGTTTTACTGTGGATATAGATACTTTTGTACCTGTTTCCTCCAGCATCTTCACAAGGTCCTTTGCTGTTTTTCTGGGATTGATTTCCACTTTTCGCACCAAAGTACGTTCATCTCTAGGAGACAGAACGCCCCTCCTTCCTGAGCGGTATGATGGCTGCGTGGTCCCATGGTGTTTATATTTGCGTACTATTGTTTGCACAGATGAACGTGGTACCTTCAGGCGTTTGGAAATTGCTCCCAAGGATGAACCAGACTTGTGGAAGTCTACAATTTTTTTTCGGAGGTCTTGGTTGATTTCTTTTGATTTTCACATGATGTCAAGCAAAGAGGCACTGAGTTTGAAGGTAGGCCTTGAAATACATCCACAGGTACACCTCCAATTGACTCAAATGATGTCAATTAGCCTATCAGAAGCTTCTAAAGCCATGACATCATTTTCTGGAATTTTCCAAGCTGTTTAAAGGCACAGTCAACTTAGTGTATGTGAACTTCTGACCCACTGGAATTGTGATACAGTGAATTATAAGTGAAATAATCTGTCTGTAACAATTGTTGGAAGAATTACTTGTGTCATGCACAAAGTAGATGTCCTAACCGACTTGCCAAAACTATAGTTTGTTAACAAGAAATTTGTGGAGTGGTTGAAAAACAAGTTTTAATGACTCCAACGTAAGTGTATGTAAACTTCTGACTTCAACTGTATATGCAAATAGACCATTGCCATATATGGATCTGTGCCATTCACTTTGAACTGGACTGTGTTTACAGCATGAGCGGTCGTGAGTAGATGCGCTTGTTTTGAGATCAAAATGAGAACTGCATGTAGCCAGGTGTGTACATTTGTTCATATCCTTTGCTAGTAATTGAGTTATTAGCCCAGTTATAGATAATTTGTAGTAAGCAATGGGGGAGGGATTGCTTCCTACAAGAACACAAAACTTTAAATTTAAAGAGCTATTTTTTGTCTTAAAGGGGCAGTATTTTGAGACAGGCTTGAATAAGCTAAGTAACCAATAGGTAGAGGGTAGCATAATTTGTCTGATTCTCTGTAATAATGGTATGGGAATAATAATGCATTTTATTTTGTGAAGTGGTTTCTTGCATCAAACAACAGCATTTTCAGTCACCTCCTTGTCTGAAGGACAAGTGGATAAACAGGTTAATGTCAAGCATGACCACTTCAGGACTCGACATTAACGCTTTTCTGGGACAGGTAAAAAACATTCAAGTTTTTAGTAAAAGTAAACAAATCTATACAACAATTATAGGGAATAATAATAATTTATATATTCATATTTATAATAAAATAATAATCATTTATAATAATAACAATCAGGATGTTGTGTCCAATGGGGTAAATGCAGATGGACAAACTCATTTTATAGACGCTATTCTTTATCAGTTGGGCTACAGGTGATGATGCTTATTGCTAATAGCACATCTGATAATATAGAGCAGGCATAGGCTATATGCATGATCCAATATGTTAAAATAATTTTAATATCATTTTTACAAATATGTTATTTGGCCCATTTCTGAGGGTGGAAATTATATTTTAGATGGTGTCAGCATAATTGCATTTTTATTAATTTTGGAGTAGAATGTCCTTTTAAAAAGTCACCAGAATTGAGCTTCTCTGTCCTTCTACATACAAATTATCCCGGGGAGGACACCCTAAGCAAGGGGACTGGAATTGGTCAAACTCACAGTTTAATACATGTAGAGAATGATCCTCTTTCCCTAAAAGCATGATGGTCATGACTTTCTTACATGAAAGGGGAGGTTAACTTGGCCCCAGACAATCGATCTGAGATGGACTTACTGTAAGTTTGAGTCATGTTATTGTTTTTGCTTTAACCCCTGCCGACGCGCAGTTGATGAACATGTGCCTTATTAAACCAATGCTACATAGGCCTACTTCAGTTGTAAAACCGTCTCTCCAGCGCTTAATATTGGGAGCTGGGGGGGGGGACAAGTGACTTGAGCTTTCGGACAAGGAAAAAATCAAAAGTGGCTAAAAAAGTTAATGTCAAGCTCTGTAGACTCTCAGCTAGGTCACCATGGAGACAGGGTGTTAATAAACTGAAGTGATTCCCCCAGGGGGAAGCCCTCAGATCATCCTCTCCCTGGGCTTCAGATGATAGAACCTAGATGATTGATCCTAGGGCCATTCAATCAGGGGAAACATCATCCATCCTGCACTTCAATAATTAACTTTGGCGGCCTACTTTATTAAACTAGACAATATGTAAAATGTACGCCTACATAAAATGTATAATTTGCTGCAAGGACCAAATTGCTGCAGGAAGAGGCAGAGCAATGTTGCTTTTGGCCTACTCCTCTCCTCCTCCTCCTCTTCTTCCAATGAAAACAAAGCAACCAGGATTAGTGTATCCACCTCCTCTCCTCCCCCGCTTCCCCACTGGCCACCATCCATCCCACCAAAGAGATAACAGGTGTCCATTGTTCCCATGGCAACATGTGCTGAATAGCTGCACCATTATGGATTGAGCTAATTGGTGTCAACATTATTCACAAATTTGTCATTTACTTCAGCAATGGCTGTTTTGGCTAGATTTGTTCATGCGCGCTCGTGTGTGTGGATCGGGGATGCATGGAACTGGTTTTCTGACAGGATTGGTTACTAGCAGAAGGGTGTGTTGACTAGAGCATCAGAGTATTCCTGTGGGCCTTGCGCTCATTCGGAGACCTATATTCAGGCTTTGTGTGTCAATCCATCTGCTCTCCTCTCTCCTCTTCCCTCTCTTCTCTCACTAATAGACTCCTCCAATTCAACATCCTTGCAGTCAGGATCTAATATAGATCCAGGGCTGGAAATAATCACTGCCATTGAAATCCTTGGGCGGGCCGCCTAAGCATTTATTTGGGCTGCCTAAGCCCAATCAGTGTTTTCTTAGTGTTATAAAAAAAAAAAATGGCATAAAAAAAAAACGCTTTAAGATATAAAGTATGTAGAAAAGATAATGGACTTATATTTTTTTATAATGTAATCTTTGAGTACTAACAATCACCAAAATCAAAGCTAGAAAGTCAAGGATGGGGGCCTCTAAAATGTTCTCTAAAATTCAGCTACGCCCCATACCACGGCCCCTGCCATGCCCACCACCTAAGCCCCTTTTTGATCCATTCCTTTGGAATCAGGTCCAACTCTAATTATATTAAACATCATCCAACCCAGGAGGCTAGTCAATCTGCAAATAGATGTCATTACAGTGATTGGAATCAATAATGACCTAGTTGGACCAATGATGGCCCTAGCCTTGTGCTTTAGCTTATTCTATGGCATGACAACAGGAACGGAGGGGCTGGAGTTTAATATGGGTAATTGAGAATATTGAGTGCTACTGTACCATTTAAGTTTCAAGTAAGACTTTATCTATGAACTAGGAAATATGGAGAATATTTGGGAACTTCTTGTTCCTGCTTCCTGTGACATAGCCTAACCCCCAGATCTACAGGTAACCACCAAAATAATGGAAACGCTTAGTAAATGAGGCATACAAAGTGTATTGAAATCAGGTGCTTCCACACAGGTGTGGTTCCTGAGTTAATTAAGCAATTAACATCCCATCATGCTTAGGGTCATGTATAAAAATGCTGGGCAAGCCATTATTTTGGCTACCATGGCTATGCCTGCCCATAGGATGAGAATGCCCCCATCCACAGGGCATAAGTGGTCACTTAATGTTTTGATGAGCATGAAAACGATGTAAACCATATGCCATGGCCGTCTCAGTCACCAGATCTCAAACCAATTGAACACTTATGGGAGATTCTGGCGCAGCGCCTGAGGCTGGGTTTTCCACCACCATCAACAAAACACCAAATGATGGAATTTCTCTTGGAAGAATGGTGTCGCATCCCTCCAATAGAGTTCCAGACACTTATAGAATCTATGGCAAGGTGCATTGAAGCTGCTCTCACTCGAGGTGGCCCAACACCCTATTAAGACACTTTATTTAGGCGTTTCCTTTATTTTGTCAGTTACCTGTAGCTATCAGGTCAACTACAGCTACTAGCTAGCCAGTTTTGTTGCCTTGCCTCTCTTCTCTTTTCTTCAGCTTCCAGGTCATATCCAAAGTAAGGCAACAGTCCCATTGCTCTGTGGGGTTCTTATTATAAAAAGCCAGAGAAAGTATTTTGAGGGATGTTTTTCTTCCTCTTTCAACCATATCGTCCTCTTCTGTATCCAACCCAAACCCAGCACAACACGCGCGCACACACGCACACACACACACACACACACACACACACACACACACACACACACACACACACACACAAGGCCTGCTTATGGTTTTGCGTCCTCTCCTCCTCTCGCCATCCTGCGTCACTCCACATTTCTAACAATTATCTGATTACAGTCTCCTCTGGGCTGAAAATGGACCGGGGTTTATATATAGTCATCTGGTTCCAGCTATAGTTTTTATGGTTGCTCATCCCACAGAACCGGGCCGTGTATTTACATGTAAACCTAATTATATGGCAACATCGCTCTGTGGTCGGCCCAGACGGCTAAGGTTTCTTGCCTTTGACGTCAGAGCTGTTTGATTTGTCTACACACACACGGATGCACACTCACTTACACACAAGCATGTGCACACACATGCACTTTCTTTCTCTCTCTCACAAACACACACACACACACACACACACACAGTTTATCTTCTTAACACAATAGACCTATCACACTTTTGGTTAGGGTAGAAAATAGCCTGTGTTAAAATAGCCAGACTGTTTTGATACAGAAGGACATTCTCAGGAAAGCATTATGGTAGGTCTGTGTTGTTCAATGATGCGGGCAGTTTGACTATAAAAATAAGGGTAAGCTTTTACGTAGTAATGTTGATGTTGGCACATGGGTTGGGAAGGACAATTAGCAGAGGTAGTAGTGCTTGCAGATACACAGGGATTCAGGGAACAGTCCTGTAAGCCTGATGTGTGTCAATCAACTCATCAATAAAGCAGTCAATCGATCAACCAATAAAACCAACCAGTTCGTCATATGTAATTTGTATAGTTTTACAGTGTCTATTGTATGTGTAATGTATAACTAAAGTTGTATTGTATTGCAGTGTGCGGTGCGGGCGGCGACAGAGGGCAGGATCCTGGTTCTAGAGGGGCTGGAGAAAGCGGAGAGGAACGTTCTCCCGGTTCTAAACAACCTGCTGGAGAACCGAGAGATGCAGCTGGAGGACGGACGCTTCCTCATGTCTTACGAGCGCTACGACAAACTACTGACGGTGAGACCTGTGTGTGTGTGTGTGTGTGTGTGTGTGTGTGTGAGCTGTGTGCGGGCACATTGACCAATGCATACCAAGGCAGTTGATTTAGCCCTGTCCCCTGCAGGAGCACACCAAAGAGGAGCTGGATGCGTGGCAGATTGTGCGCGTGAGCGAGGACTTCCGGGTCATCGCCCTGGGACTTCCTGTCCCCCGGTACAAAGGCAACCCCTTGGACCCGCCCCTCCGATCCCGCTTCCAGGCTAGAGACATCTACTACCTACCCTTCAAGGTTAGAGCAACGATTCCAGATCAACTATCCTATCCTACGGGCTATATTAACTACAGATATGGGTCAGAAGGAGTAACACTTTAAAGCACCCGTGTAGTGTCTGATTACTTCATATATCTTTTCTCTCTCTCAGGATCAGTTGGAAATCCTGTACACTGTTGGACCAAACGTGCCTGCCGAGAGGTAAAGATAGACACACACACACACACTAATGCTGTACCATATTGAACAGAGTTATAATTTAGTAATACGGGTGCTGTGTTGTCTTTGTATCGCAGGGTATCCCAGCTGCTGTCGTTTGCCACCACTCTCTGTTCCCAGGAGTCATCCAACCTGGGTCTGCCTGATTTCCCTGTGGACAACCTGCCTCCTGCTCTCACTGTACTGGTAAGACTGATGGAGGGAGGGAGGGATGGGAGAAGCATGAAGATGGAGGAGGAGAGGAGTGAGGGTGTAGGGCTAGCCTTGGTCTGCCTGACTTTTGAGAAATGACTGGAGGGAAAATGGATGGAGAGGAGAGGGACAAGGTAGTGAGGACAAAGAGCTGCTTGACAGATATCCTTGGTATCGGTCTACTCCTCCCCAGTATTTAGAGTCAATTCACCCACCAAACAATCAATCAATTAGACAAGTCAATCAACCAACCAACTTATCAATCAATTAATTAGTCAATATATATTCAATTTCAACCAACCAACCCTTTCTCTGTTCCTGTGTGTCTCCAGGAGCATTTTCCCATGCTGTCGTCCCAGCAGCTAGTGCAGAGGCTCTACCCCTATCAAGCCATGTTGGGGAAGGAGGGCCGCACCGCCGTGGAGGGTGTTCTTAATGTAAGAACACACACGGACAGACATGCACAGTTACACAGACATGCATGTGCACATACGTGTACACACACACAATTCACAGCTGACTGTTGTCGTCCCTCTCCAGAGGTTTGAGTTGCTGGACGCGCGTCAGCAGCCGGCTTCCAGTGCTGTCCTGAGGGTGGCGCCAGCGAGCACAGAGCAGCCCGGCCAGACGGGAGCCCAGGCTGACGTCACACTCCGCATCACAGACAAGGACATCACCTTCCAGGTAACACAACCCCTTTGTGATTGTGGACCATTCTGTAGAGACGGCTGACTACTGGGGCAGTGTGGGGTTTGGAGGAATGAGATAACAGAGTTGAAAGAGAAGGTCTGGTCCACAGCCATCTAATAGGCTGTATATGGCTTTGGTCCTCAGTTCTAAGTCGCCTGGTCAATGAGAATGGTGGCATTATCTGCAGTTCTTTGAAAGCTCTTATTTGTTGTGTGTTTGAACTCTCATGTGGGACGCTGGAAGTGTGTTTGATCTTCTGTGAGGCCCCATATCTGCTGGATTATGAGAGAAAGGGAACTACATATTATGGATTAAAGATGGTGTGTGTTGTTGTGTAACAAAATAGTGATATCCGGTTGTTTTTCTAGTTGATATGAACTTGTCACTCTCTATGCCAAGGTTTTCTTTAGCATTACTGGATCCCTCTAAAAAGTCTCTCTCTCTTTCTTGTTTTCTCTTTCTTTCTCTTTCTCTCTCTCTCTGTATATATATACAGTGCATTCGGAAAGTATTCAGACCCCTTGACTTTTTCCACATTTTGTTACGTTACAGCCTTATTCTAATTAAAAAATGTTTTACCTCATCAATCTACACACAATACTCCATAAGGACGAAGCGAAAACAGGTTTTTAGAAGTTTTTGCAAATGTATTAAAAATAAAAAATAAAAATACCTTATTTACATAAGTATTCAGACCCTTTGCTATGAGACTCGAAATTGAGCTCAGGTCCATCCTGTTCCATTGATCATCTTTGAGTTGTTTCTACAACTTGATTGGAGTCCACCTGTGGTAAATTCAATTGCTTGGACATGATTTGGAAAGGCACACACCTGTCTATGTTAGGTCCCACAGTTGACAGTGCATGTCAGAGCAAAAACCAAGCCATGAGGTCGAAGGAATTGTCCGTAGAGCTCCAAGATAGGATTGTGTCGAGGCACAGATCTGGGGAAGGGTACCAAAAAATGTCTGCAGCATTGAAGGTCCCCAACAACACAGTGGCCTCCATCATTCTTAAATGGAAGAAGTTTGGAACCACCAAGACTCTTCCTAGAGCTGGCTGCTCGGCCAAACTGAGCAATCGGGGGAATGGGGCCTTGGTCAGGGAGGTGACCAAGAACCCGATGGTCACTCTGACAGAGCTCAGGAGTTCCTCTGTGGAGATGGGAGAACCTTCCAGAATGCCAACCATCTCTGCAGCACTCCACCAATCAGGCCTTTATGGTAGTGGCCAGACGGCAGCCACTCCTCAGTAAAAGGCACATGACAGCCCGCTTGGTATTTGCCAAAAGTCACCTAAAGGACTCTGACCATGAGAAACAAGATTATTTAGTCTGATGAAACCAAGATTGAACTCTTTGGCCTGAATGCCAAGCGTCATGTCTGGAGGAAACCTGGCACCATCCCTACGGTGAAGCATGTTGGTGGTATCATCATGCTGTGGGGATGTTTTTCAGCGGCAGGGACTGGGAGACTAGTCAGGATCGAGGGAAAGATGAACGGAACAAAGTACAGAGAGATCCTTGATGAAAACCTGCTCCAGAGAACTCAGGACCTCAGACTGGGGCGAAGGTTCTCCTTCCAACAGGACAACGACCCTATGTACACCGCCAAGACAATGCAGGAGTGGCTTCGGGACAAGTGCAGGAGTGGCTTGAGTGGCCCAGCCAGAGCCCGGACTTTAACCCGATCTAACGTCTCTGGAGAGACCTGAAAATAGCTGTGCAGCGACACTCCCCATCCTACCTGACAGAGCTTGAGAGGATCTGCAGAGAAGAATGGGAGAAACTCCCCAAATACAGGTGTGCCAAGCTTGTAGTGTCATACCCAAGAAAACTCAAGGCTGTAATCGCTGCCTTAGGTCTGAATACTTATGTAAATGTGCAATTTACGAGTTTATTTTTAACAAATTAGCAAACATTTCTAAAAAATAATTTAATCAATTTTAGAATAAGGCTGTAATGTAACAAAATTTGGAAAAAGTCACAGTGTCTGAATACTTTCCGAATGCACTGTATGTATGTGTGTGTATATATATATATATATATCGCTATCTCTCAAATTCAGTATGCTTTATTGGCATGAATGACAAGGTCAATGTTGCCAAAGCGAAGTTATACACATAAAAAATAATGAAAACAACATCGACATTAATAAGAATAGTAGCTATAATACTCTCTGACTACAGGTCCCAGCAGGCACCAAGGCACCCCGCCCCCCCAACAGTAACCCCGCATTCATCAGCACCCCGAGCCACGCCCATCTCCTGGCCGAGATGGTGCAGTCACACCTGGTCAAAGACATGTGCCTGATAGGGGCCAAGGTACACACACTGCTGCTCTAGTAAATACTATTTATTCAACTGCTTGACCAAAACACTACCTAATTTATATTAGTAAATACAGTCATACTTGACATAGTACATTCATTATCTATACTGTATATCCTATTGTGTACACATCAGGCTATTACTCTGCGTACTATACCTCTTCTGTTACTTGTTATTTTTTACGTGGCAAATACAATTTGATTAGATTGTTTTATTTGACACACACACGCTAACCTCCATCTAAGATGCTTAGTTACGTTTAATGTGTGTTGGTTTGCTTTTGCTACTTGGACAACATTATAACCAGGTCTTGTATGTTTTCAGGGTTGTGGCAAGTCAGTGGTTGCCAAAGAGTTTGCTGAGATGCTGGGCTACAACATTGAGCCTATAATGCTCTATCAGGTAGGAATACAGTACCTCACAAATCTCCCTTTGGAGACTCACTGTGTGTGCGCGTGTGTCTTGGGGAAAACAACCCCTTGGCTGAGGTTCAATTGTCAAGAGCTGCATCACTGAGATGCCAGATCTTCCTCTTGTCAAAAGACATCTGGAAACATTATGTTTAACAGTCAGATAATGGAGTTTTGATTGAATAAATGATTGAGTGTCATACTTTATTCCACTTTAATGGACTTGATAACTGACTGAGAGAGAATGATGTCTTTCTCAGACTACACACACACACGCAGTTGTCCCTTCCATAGCAGACACACAGTAATGGGGTTAATGCACTGTATTTCACCCGTGCACGTTGCTCACATAACCCTCTGTGTGGCGTATGTGTGAAAGCAAATGTTTTCTTAGAGAGATGGAGAGTGTGTGTTACAAACAGTATGTGGCTTATAGGTTGTCGTGATCTGTGTGTGTGTGAGAGACAGTGGCTATGATTACAACACCTCATCTCTTTGTCACCCCCCTCCCTCCCTCTATAGGACATGACAGCCAGGGACCTGTTACAGCAGCGCTACACGTTAGCTAATGGAGACACAGCGTGGAGACCCTCTCCCCTGGTCACTGCTGCCCAGGAGGGCAAGCTACTGCTGCTGGACGGAATACACAGGGTTAACCTGGGAACACTGGCCGTACTGTCCAGGTACATACACTCTTATGCGCAGTTGCAGGCACACGCAGACAGGAACACGTGCACACACACATATTGCATATCATCTACTAATAGCATGTCTACTGTATTACAGGTTAATTACCACTGTGACTGGTCCTAGATCAGTCATCCACTAATACAGGGGCCTTCAACCTTTTCTTGCCTAGGGACCCACTCCCAGGCAAACCGGCGACCCAGGGACCCCCATCATATGTTAGCAAAAACAAAACAAAAAATCACGTCTTATCATCAGGTGAATGATAATGGCAAGGAGAAGTAATCAACATTTTAAAATGAGTAGATTGGTGGATACCCACATTATAATTGGAAGAGCAAGTGTAAACTCAACATACCCTATTAGTTAGAAAGGTAATGCCAAACCAGGGTTTCCATTAGGAAAATGTGGCTCCGGACATTTGACCGGCAGCATTTTAATTTACCGTACATTTGAGAAATGTACCTGGAACCACATGCATTGGGTGCGTAACATGATTAGGGCGTCCACCCACGGTGCTCAGAATGACAGAAACCACATTTATATTATGGTAGTTCATATTTACAGAACATGCAAGTCAAGGATGCAACGATGTGCGGTCGCTTACCGAATTCTGATGCGCACTTTGAAAATGCTAGAATAACTGTCCACATTTACTTTTCCTCAGCTAACAAGACAAGTAACGAACAGCAAAATCACTAGCCTATGTCAATCTACTATCCCCCATAGTAGAAACGTTTACCAATTATATTGGTTAGCTTGTCGAGGAAGAAATAGCCTATTCCAAAACAGACTGGGACAGTTTGTTGGATGATAGATCCCAAATTCATATAACCAGTAGGCCTAGGCTACATAAAAATGTTTTTTATAAAGCAATGAGTCTGTAGCTTAAAATATTGATAAACTATTATTTCTTCACATAAGTGCAGCAATGTGCAAAAGGCAGTAGGCTACATGCAAATGTTTGTTCGATAATGCAATTAACGGGAAAGCACCATTGGGAAAATGCCATTGTCAAAGCGCACTGCACATGCCAGCGGTTTCATGTGACAGAGATGAAAAAATCAGTTCGAAATTTAGAAAGAGGGGAGATCTAATATGCAACAACTAGCATGGGTTGCTAAAATGACTAAGATTGTGCCTTTGGCTACTGGACAATGAAAGAAAGTTGATATAAAATAGTTCGGTTCACCGATATGGTCGATTTTGGCTAGGCTACTTTGAAGCAAGGTAGGCCTATGACATGCCTCATAATATGTAGTAAAACGTTCAGATTTCAAACAATTAAGTATATGTTTTCAAAATGCATACTGCCTCCAGCTCATTGCAAAGTGGTATATGACTCACTGATGAAGCCTGCCTTTAGTTGCCTATGCATTTGCTGTTTGAGATGCTGTAGCAGCAGCTTTAGCGCTGTCTGACAGACTTTCTGCTAAAAGGCTCTGTATGCTGTAATTTAATTCCACAAAATTATGCAACTTAATCAATAGACCGATAAGCATGACAAGTCAAATGTATTTACATCGACTGGTATTTCCATCAATGAATAGGCTAAAAAGCATTATTTTTCAATGGGATTTTTCTTCTTCTCTATTATTAATTTTTGCGGCCAAAATCC